CCTTCTTACCAACCAGCATACGAGCTTCATCGAATGCAAACAGGTATTTAACTGAACCTTCTCGTTCTTTTCTTTCTTTTTTAACCAAATATTTCTTAACCGATTCAGTTGTATCGCTATCCGTAGAACATTTCATTAAATCGTCCTTGATAGATTTCATTCTGTTTTCAACATCTTTCCAAAAATTCTCTTGCAAATTTTTATTGGTATGCCCATCCAACCATTTCTTACAATCTACATCGAAATCCTGCATCTTTTGAAAACATGCGCATATGTACGCAAGGTAGGTAGCTTTGGCTTCTTGTTCACTATCAAACTCTTTTATTAGTATTCCGGCAATATTCGATCTGGGTGGATAGCCACTTGATCCGAATTCCCGCAAACAGCAGTATACGGTCATTATCTCTTCGGCAACACTTATCAATAATTTGGATTTCCCTGTGCCACTGGCTTGAATTAAAGTTGTATATGGCGCATAATATTCGTTACTCGTTGTTTCGTATTTATCCAGACACTTGTCAATAAATTGTATAAACCTTTCCGAAAGGTTACTTGGATCTTGAAAAGTTCTATTAAAAGCTTTCTGGACGATTTCCTCATCTTCCTTACTTCTAGAGTGATATGATGGCTCTAATATAGAATGCACAAGAAATAATTAGATTTCGTTCAAAAATCGTCAATAGAATAATACTATTTGTAATCAGCTTACTTGATGGTTCATCCACTTTTCTAAGTAACAAGTTTAGATTACATTAGTTCAGATGATTTGTGATCAGCTAGTGACTGAATATCATACCTTTTTCTTTTTCTACATTGGATATCCGGACTGGATTATCACCCGAACACTTTTGTTGTTTGAGAAAGTCGATGATTTGGATTTTTGACCAGCCAAAATTCATTTCTTTATCCCCAATAATAAACACATAATTTTTCAATGGACCTTCGATATTGAAGCATTTTTTTAAATGTTTATGCAGTTGAATAAAATCCTCCCAAGTGCTGGAACTCACGCAATAAATTTTTGAATCAAGATATTGAAAGTATAAGGGAACTAAAAGCAAAATTGGAAATTTCGTAAATGATATCACAATATAATAAAACGAGAAAACTAAAATATTCATAGTGCTTACCCGTAGCTATATAA